ATGTATTTTAATTATTGGTAGATTTGATTAGTTACTTAGATTGTTAGTGGCTGTACCCTCAAAGGGGGTTGAAGTACTGTAAAATTATTGTCCTCCTGAGAGGGTACGTAAGTCCCAAAACATTTCAAGTAAATTTAAGTATACCAGGTGTTTTAATCATAGTATTTTTGTCATTTTAATGTATAGCTAATTCTCGGTATAAACTCCAATGGCTGAAGGGATGGTGTAAATCCAGCTAGGGTCCATGCAGGTAGCAAAGGTACTGTAAGTCCCCATGGTCCCTAGTATGGTGATCTACCTTCAGTTGCACATTGTATTATCCAGAAATAATTTTCTACTTTTAAAGATATATGTTAGCTAGTTTTAACTCAATCTGTGATAATCTAGTGGTTTTACTGTCCTTCGTTGACAGGGTTTTATATATTATATGTATGTATTACAAATTTGGAACTAGCTTTAGTCACGATATGGCTGAAATATTGCCGATGTGACTTTAAATCTTGACTCACTCTCTCACTCACTAAACCTTAACTGTATGCTTAGCCACAAGATTGCTAAAAGCGATGTTAAACTAAACTCACTCATTCACTCTCTCACTCAGCCACAAGAGGATTGATGAGCCACTCATCGATTGATCGAACCCCTGAACACCCTCTACCCCTTGGCTCCGCCAATGCAAAACATTAACTGCAATGTGGTCCTTAGTCATGCTCAAAAGTGGGGAGGGGGGTTGTCGAACTTCCTGAACCACCTCTTAGATCCGCCAATGAGTGTTGTCATGAACATAGTACCCCAGCGGGCGGTTGTATAAAACATTTAAACTAACAATATCTGCTTCACTGTTGCAGTCATTTAACGGATGTTTGGGCGCACCATTGTCTGTCGTCAGGCAAAGCAGGCCTCATTATTTGATCAAGTCAGTCCTATGCAAGGAGTCCGATAAATAGAAACAGTCCGTCTTGAGATAAGACTGTCAAACGCACGGGTCCGCTCACAAACACCTTTGAGTCGGGAGAAATGTTATTAACGTTTTCATAAAGGAGAAAAGTCACTTTGACTCATCAACTGGGTTACTCGGAACACTTCATTCACTTGACTGAAATGGAATGTGGACCTCTGAATAGAAACTGATAACATTACAGACGCACTCACGATTCGCTTGTAAGTTGTGTTTGCTGTCTATTTTCAGATGATCTATTTCCATGGTGACTAAAAGTCGTTCATTAAATACATCCAATACATTCAAGAGTTTTATAATCACAAAAAGGTAAGTATTTTCACGAACGTAAACCTATAATTTATCGCGCTGGTATGTGAATTGCTGGTTGTGATATGTGAAGTTTTAGCTGTGCTTTGTGAAGGGCTTGTTGTCATTTGTCTGTGGTACGGGAAGTGTTAGCTGTGGTTTCACGGTGGTATCCCTAGTGTTGTTCATAGTGGTATACCTAGTGCTGTTCATAGTGTTGTTCACGGTGGAATTCCTAGTGTTGTTCATAGTGGTATTCCCAGTGTTGTTTATAGTTGGATTCCTAGTGTTGTTCATAGTGGTATTCCGAGTGTTGTTTATAGTTGCATTCCTAGTGTTGTTTATGGTGGTATTCCGAGTGTTGTTCATAGTGGTATTCCCAGTGTTGTTTATAGTTGGATTCCTAGTGTTGTTCATAGTGGTATTCCTATTGTCGTTCAAAGTGGTATTCTTAGTGTTGTTTGTAGTTGTATTCCGAGTGTTATTCATATTGGTATTTCTGGTGGTGTTTATGGTGGTATTCCTAGTGTTGTTCATAGTGGTATTTCTAGTGGTGTTTATGGTGGTATTCCTAGTGTTGTTCATAGAGGTATTCCTAGTGTTGGTTATAGTTGTATTCCTAGTGTTGTTCATAGTGGTATTGCTATTGTTCTTCATAGTGGTATTCCGAGTGTTGTTCATAGGAGTATCACTAGTGTTGTTCATAGTGGTATTCCTAGTGTTGTTCATAGTGGTATTCCGAGTGTTGTTCATAGTGGTATGCCGAGTGTTGTTCATAGTGGTATTCCGATTGTTGTTTATGGTTGTATTCCGAGTGTTGTTTATAGTTGCATTCCTAATATTTTATATAGTGGTATTTCTAGTGTTGTTTATATTGGTATTCCTAGTGTTGTACATAGTGGTATTTTAGTGTTGTTTATAGTGGTATTCCGAGTGTTGTTCATAGTGGTTTTCATGGTGGTATCCCTATTGTTGTTCACAGTGGTATACCTAGTGCTGTCCATAGTGTTGTTCACGTTGGTATTCCTAGTGTTGTTCATAGTGGTATTCCTAGTGTTGTTCATAGTGGTATACCTAGTGTTGTTCATAGTGGTGTTCATGGTGGTATTCCGAGTGTTGTTCATAGTGGTATCCCGAGTATTGTTCATAGTGGTATTCCTAGTGTTGTTTAAAGTTGTATTCCTAGTGTTGTTCATAGTGGTATTCCTAGTGTTGTTCATAGTGGTAATCCTCGTGGATAACAACAAATGCAGTACACTATAGGTATAATGAAAACAGTGAGTGAGTCTAGTTTTACGCCGCACTCAATATTTTTCTAGCTATATGGCGGCGGTCTGTAAATAATCGAGTCTGGACCAGACAATCTAGTTATCAACAGCATGAGCATCGATCTACGCAAGTGGGATACGATGAAAATGTGTCAACCAAGTCAGCGAGCCTGACCACCCGATCCTGTTAGTCGCATCTTACGATAAGCATGGGTAACTGAAGATCAGTTCTAACCGTATCTATACACGGGTGTAATGAAAAGAGAAACTTATATTTGTCCATAATCCTGGATTTTCCTGGATCTACCTGTACCAGCAGAAATATCTTATTGGAAGTGAAAGGAGACGAGGGCATTTACGAGGAAATGAAGCTCATCGCATCACCTCATTGGCTTCATCTGTTTTAGCCATGTGGCACACTCAGTTCTTCCGTAGACCCTTAATGAAGACATGCTGCTATTGAGCTTATGAACCCTGGCGTTAGATAAAGATATTGTTTAAATATTCAAATAGTCACACCTGCGTGTCATAACAGGCGCCTAAACGGCTTGGTGACTTGTTCGATTGCATGTCATCGTGTACCAAACTCGATGGCATTGAGTCAGAATCCATTATTCACAGACATCAGGAATGATACTGATAAGTGTTTTAAAGAACAACGATCGAAAAGACTTTTGGAAAAAACCCAACAAAAACAGCATTCCGCTGTATTCATCTTTGTGTGCAATGCGGTAACAAAACCGTTTCCACAAATGTTTTAAGATTGGGACCCTTCAGCCAAAATACTGTTAAACCCCTAAACGTCAAATAATGTACCTTATCTTCTACTTACACTGTCGTAGATATATCTAAGTCTAGAAAAAGAGAGGTATTTTCTATTTCTGGCTGCTACATCTATATCACTTCCTGATCAGTAAGAAGATTCTGCTTCGACTTCAGTTTATGTTCAGAAACATATCACTTCCGGCACTCACGTGAGTAATGCAATACCGATATTGTTGACCACCGTGGTGTCCAGATCTATACTGTGGAGCATCCGTTAGTAAGCCCTGATATGGAGCTTTGGCCTACTTGTTCAAAGTGCTATGATGTTCCTATTGCCACGATGATAATATCTCCATACTCTAACATAGACCTTAAGTAGTTCTAACATAGACCTTAAGTAGTTGTAACGTTTAGATCGCTCAGTGCAAGTGCTTCATGGTACTTAATTTGTTCTGATGGAAAGCGATAACATTTCTCTCTGGAAAAAGGACAGAGAAGTAACTATGGTTATTAAGTGAAAGTACTTGAGTATTCTAAACCTGTATACTTTCGATTCTGATCTTAGATATGCGCGTATAAGAGGTCAAGCGACCAAGTATTGGTTTGTCATAGATAAAAAAAGGAAAGTAGTTATGAAATGACTTACGGACGAATGGTTGTGGGTGGAATAAACTGGGTAATTCTATAACAGGCCCTGAATGTAGAACCTGTTATGTTTCAGCATTGTCCCTGTTGACACGGACGGCCCATGGGGATCGTATGGGCAGAATGTCTTCTACGCTAACCTCAAAGAACCCCAGAAACGGTAAGATGAGTAATGATTCGTCCGTACCCCTCAGCCTCTGACCACTGCAACTATGACGTGTCCATGCTACACATGGTGCACTGTTATGTCACTAACCCATCACAGAAGACGCTGTATGAGTGGAAGGGTTTGGTCTACCTGAGTGAATGAGTGAGTTTAGTTTTATGCCGCTTTTAGTAATATTCCAGCAATATTACGGCGGTGGACACCGGGAAAAGGGCTGAGCACACTGTCCCCAAGTGGGGAATGGAAGAACACATCATTGGCCGAATGACGTATGTGTTGCCAAAATAAGATGTACATGCCATAGCACATTAAAACAACATATTGCTTTAATCAAGATGAACGAAATCCTTGTAATTTGTACAAAATAATTGAATGCTTTAAAGGCCTCCCCCCAACACCAACACAGAACCCCCCCCAAAAAAAAGAAAAGAAAAAAGAAGCAAACACCCCCAAAAAAATAAAATTAAATAAATCAAAAACAAAACAGAACAAAAACAAAACAAAACAAACCCAACAACAAACAAAAACAATCAAACAAAAAACAAAACAAAAAAATGACAGCAAAGGCCCCGAAATACAAACAACAACCATGACACCCCCACCTCCAACAGCCCAAAACATTATATTGCGGCATCCTGTGGTATTTTGTTTAAACACCACCATAATATTCACCAGATCCGTAAACCAAACAACACAGAAGGCTTTGTCACTGACCAAAGTTGCGATGATCTGTTGCTGATATAGTTTGACTTGCCGTTGCAGATCGACGTTCATGAAGCTGTCGCTGGCGCTGCATGAGACGGATCCAGGGCATCACTTCCAGCACGCCTACTGCATCTGATGTTAGTTATAACAGCAACCGATTTACCAAGATCTTGTTTCCGTGATCAAAATAGGTACCCATGAGGAGATGTTTGTAAGGCCTGACTAATGAGAGTCGAGTGGTTTTGTAGGTGATTGCTCGTCATCGTTGCTCATGCCATCGACCTCTGGTTTGTCTGTGCGGGGTCGGATTATTGACAGGCGGTCGCGGCACAGCAGTGGTATTACTGACTGGCGATAAAAAGCCATGCTCACAATCAGTCTTGTGGGCACTCTGAACCTCTTCTGACGTAAGAGTCCGCTCGTCACGCTGAAGACCCAGTTTCGATTCCCAATATGTGTACAGTGTGAAGCCATTTCTGGCATCCCCCGCCGTGATATTGCCGGAATATTGCTTAAAGCGGCGTAAAATCATACTCACTCACTCACTCTTCTGACGTAATGAAGCTGCTGGCTTGTCTAATAGTTCCACGTATTCAGACCTGAATGTGACCATGTTCTTTGTTGCAGGGCTGGGCGCTGTATGCTGAATACCTCGGCGAGGAGATGGGTCTCTATGACTCGCCCTATGATCTGTAGGTTCAAAACATAAGTATCCAAAGCCATAACGAAAACTTTGAATTACAGATAAATGACACGCGATCACTGCAAAATACCACTGTTTAGGAATCGCTTGGTAATTATATTTGGAAAGCCATATTCCTTTTCGGGTTTCCTATTCGCCTGGCACTGTGCCATTTATGAATGCTCAGCAAACAGATCCGCAAAGAGATCTTTGCCCTGTCTTGAGTCAGTTTAGAGAATGGCCGGTACGATCACTTCATGGAACATAGATTTATATTGGGTATCTGTGTCATATGTTCTGAAACAATCACGAGGAATCGTTTCCCAAACAAAACCTCACTTCTCGCCATAAGGTCATAGGAGTTCACTCCCCTGAAATGGAACAGTGAAAATTGAAGCATTTCACTCAAGGCTGTTTACTACACACCGCCATCTTTATACTTACGGAACAGAACACCTGTTTACTTTAAATATCCATTATATCAACGAATATGTACAAAATAGACAAACTTTATGGATAACGACTTCTTTATTATGAGAGTGCGACGTTTCGACGTTTCGATACAGATTTTTGTACCGTTGTCAAGCAGGAATGACATTTGACAACGGTACAAGAATCTGTATCGAAACGTCGCATTCTCATTATAAAGAAGTTGTTATCCATAAAGTTTGTCTATTTTGTACTTCCCAGCTTCTAAAATGCCACTCAAAGAAGTCATCGAATATGTGTCTAAGGCATACTCCCTCTGACACTTTCAATTTGAAAACACATTTGTGAAATATCCTACTCATTTTTGCTTTTTCTAAAATTAGTGTCCCTCTCGGGGACCTACTAATAAGGATTTGGTTGTAAATGTCTGTGATCAAACGTTGTCCGTGTTGTCATATAGTTCCAACTGTTTACAGGCGGGCGGAGTTCAGCTAGAATATTAGTGGAGTTATATACCATTTTTAATAATTCATTGTCTGTTTGTTGGCGTAACTTTTAGCCGTATATTGCATTCTCCGACGTAATGGTTGCAAATTAGGTTCTGTTCAACGTTTTTATTCTTATTTACAGCTTTGGCAGATATTGTTCCGAAATATTCCGTGCCTGTCGTCTTGTAGTGGATACTGGCATTCACGCGTTTGGGTGAGTTGACAACAGAAACGGAAATGTGATATGGGTACCGTGACTCCCAAGGAAACATCTCCTTCAGGCGGGTCGGTGGGGTAGCCTAGTGGTTAAAGCGTTGGCTCGTCACGCCGAAGGCCCGGGTTCGATTCCCCACATGGGCACAATGTGTTAAGCCCATTTCTGGTGTCCCCCGCCTAATATTGCTGGAATATTGCTAAAAGCGGCGTATAACTAAACTCAGTCAGTCAGTCAGTCTCCTTCAGGCCGATTCCATAGTGACACTTTCATTGTAAAATTGCAAAAGGCATGCAATTGAAAATGTGTATATTTTACGGACGATTCACTGACTCGTGCGCGCTCAGGACATTTACGTCAATAATAGAGAATATCCGAAGGTCTTTGGTGTACCTCGTCATGGAGTAGACATTACAATGGGCTTTGTCCGTATAATCAAACAGCTGAAGAAGATGACATGGGGGTTCACAGTACCTCTGCTGCCTGTAAAGACCCCTACATCATTTACTTCATCCGTCTTGCTGCTCGTGCATCATATGGACTGTGGGGTAGCCATGCAAGTGGTTAAAGCATTCGTTCGTCACGCCGAAGACCCGGGTTCGATGTCCCACATGGGTACAATGTGTGAAGCCCATTTCTGGTGTCCCCCGCCGTGATATTGCTAGAAACGGCGTAAAACTCAACTCACCCACTCACTCACTCACTGGGGCTAATGAGACGATCTGTCAGAAACATATAATTATAGCCTCAGTGTTGCATGACCTAGCACTAGCTAACCCGCTTCGTTTGTGGCAGTTAAAGGAACAGTGTTTCTTCCACAGCTGGTCACGTGATCGTGCAATCCGCTTCCTGACCAATTACAGCGACTTTCCAGACAATCAGATCCAGTCCGAGGTTGATCGGTATATCACGTGGCCGGGCCAGTCTTGTTCCTACAAGGTCGGGGAGATCAAAATAAAGAAACTGAGACAGGAAGCAGAAACAAGTCTCGGTATGTGTCTAGACGTGACGGAATGGGGTTTAGTTTAGATGTGACTGGTTTGGTACATGCCAAGCTTTCATACTTTAAACAAGATCTAAAGAGATTTAAAAATGTATATTATGTGATATATATGAATATAAAATATTAAATATATGTAAAATTATACCTAAATAAATTTATATATTTCATTCTAGGCCGAAAGTTCAACATCCGAGATTTTCATCACGTGGTGTTAAAGCTTTGGAGTGTTCCGCTTGACATTCTGGAGGAAGAAGCTCATGACTGGATCGACTCGGAACTGACTGAAGAGAAAATAGTCACCATTCCTGTGTTTTCGTCCGCCATTACGTGTATATATAATAATGTCCTCATGGCTACTTTTACAATAGTTTTATTGCTTGCAAGCAGATAATATTCATGATATTTATGTTCTGTGCAGTGTACAGTGTTTTGTATGGTAGAGAATCTTTGTCTGCTGTAAATAAATGTGTCCGTTGTGTAAGAAGATTATTGATTATTGTTGTCATTTATCTATTCTACAACTGCAGTGAGATAGGCGTTGTTCGTCTGACTAAGGTTCGATTCCGGCTTGGATGGTATTTGAGAAGCCAAGTCTTTATGTCCCCCGAATAGACCGATCCAGTCTGTCAATCAAAACTGGCGCATGCGTCAATTTTGGCCAATCAGCAGGGCGCGCTGTGTGCATTTGTCAGACTTATTTCCGGGGTCAAACGATGCCTCCGAAGCGATGTGCTTCGAATTATGCCATTTACACTCGCTATATCTATTACATATTGCTGTGATTTGATGTGTACCTTTAACAAAACCATTACGATCAAGACAAAAAAATTGAGGCGGATCAAGGAATGCGATAGGCCTAACGAGCAGTTAAATGTCGGCACCGTCGTTCACGAAACCTACGTCTGCTCGAAGGTGCGAATTTACACGAATTTACACACTTTCGCACATGTGCAAAAGCATTACCAATAGATGACAACAAATAGCAGTTTAGGATTTTGCAAGTGTTATAAACACGGACAATTCTTGTAACTACAAAATTGTTTTTGCTTCTCGTTTTTAGTCACTACTGGGCATTGAGTTGGTATACCAAAAACCTGAAATGACAAATCTGACAGCGAGCTGATTTCGGTTAGGGTCGACCGAAATAGCAAAACTTGTTACATTAAGAACAATGTGGTGGATATGGTTGCATTCGCGATTAGATATTCTTAAATTTGTCACACATTTTAGGATGTTTTAAAGTTTCAAAAGCACAATCTGAAGGCCTATGTACAGTACAGTATCTAAAGCGGTTGCCTATCACGCAATATCCAAACATCAAAACTAATTCAAATGAGTGTCTATAAAACCATGTCTTAAATATTTCAAAATGTCTATAAAAGAGATGGGACTTTGAATTGATTTAGCTTACTCCATGTGGATCGGAGACGAAAAGTATGTGAGAAGAATAGTGACTTTCTGGAATATCGGACGGAGTGAAATATAAGTTTATTTCCTAACTATGAGAACATTATTTGGTTTGATTTTTTGTCACAGCATAATTATTTTACATGTAGGGTTGGGGTTGGGGTTGGGGTTGGGGTGGGGTGGGGGGTGGGGAGTACATTGGTACATTTTAGGAGTAATAACATAGTTCTGTCATTTTAATTATACTTCACTGGAAATGATAGCAAGGTATGTTTTTAGAATCTTGCCTCCTTCAGGAAACGTGGAAAGGTAATAAAATAGATAATAATCCAATCAATTATAAATAATGACTTAATTGACTCACATATCAGATTCATGTGAATTTAAGGCAGAACTAGGCAAACAAACACTATATACATATCATGGCTGAACGATCACTTGGTACTAAGATAGCTAGTTTGTTTTAAGAAATATTTGGTCTTTAAATAATATGTTTACTAATGAGATTATTCAGAGAGTGATCACTAAAGTACTGTCGGAAATGCTAGAAAAATGCTTTTTAGCCTTAATATCTTTATAAAGGTGATAAATGTACTATGTTGTCAATATATCAACTCGTCTATTGTCTACCTAATTTTTATTTCAACCGATTTAACATTCCCATGCATTTAAAGGGCAGTTTACAGGAGAGAATTTGGTACCAAAACAGCAACTTAAGATTTTTTTCAGAGTTCAACAGCAGAAATCTGAAATAGTCTTTACATTTATGCTAATAATACAGGTGGTGTAAAAATATGAATTAACGTTTTTCCTAAACAAATAAATGTTGAATGTTTGTGTTACTTTACTTAATTATCGTTTCTTTATTGAAGAAATATTAATATAAATGTTAATTCTTGATAAATACGTTTCCCGTCATGCATGCACATCTTTATCACAGCGTCCACTGTGGCCAACGATTTGCAATCGATTGTTGCAAAGGTTTATAGGTTTTTTCTGCTTTAAAAAAGACAGAGGTAAACCTTTCATTAGTTTAGAAAGGGTTTATTACAGAACTTGTAGAGCTGTTGGCATGTCTTACCAACAAGTTTACAATATTGTAAACAAATCAGACAAGAGAGGGACCGTCTCAAATGCAAAACCGGGACGTAAAACCATCCTTGACAACTTTGACAAGGGAGTGCTTAGACGGGTTGTCTACAAACTTTGCGAGAAGAAATATATATACTGAACCGCAAAAGAAACGCAAGTTACTATTTTCAAAACATACGTTCCAAATGCATTTCTTTTAGGACAACAAAGTATACCATTATAGAACTAAGCATTCGAAGATTCTTTTGCCGTTGTTGCCGCTGATTCTTGACCATATCGCCAAAACGCAATCATATTCATGTTTTTCGTGTTTTTTGCATGAAGTTTTTGTGTTTCACACAAAAATACGTGCATTTCACTCCAGTTTGAAGCTTTATAAGGCAGGTCATTCAAAAAAAACACCATAGAACACAAACTTGACTGTAACAACGCGGAGAAAACATGCCACGTCTAACTGAACAGCAACGATGAATCGCCGTTGGAATGTTGCAGACCGGATCCACACCAACTAAAGTAGCCAGGCACTTCAGATGTCACGTGACAACAATCACAAGACTATCCGCAAGGTATCGTCAAACCGGTAATGTTCCAGACCGACCACGTTCAGGACGTCCCAGGGTAACAACGCCAGCGCGTGAGCGTCACATCCGGGCTACTCATCTGCCTAACCGACAGCAACGAGCAACACAGACAGCTGCAACCATTCAAGGGCCACAACGTCACATCTCTGCAGACACTGTTCGTCGCCGTCTGAGGGCAGCAGGGATCAGATGTCGCCGTCCTTACGTCGGACCAATTCTGACGCAAGGTCACCACCAAAATCGTTTACAGTGGGCGCGACAACACCAGCGTTTGCGATGTCAACAATAACAACAAGTGTTGTTTTCTGAGGAGTCCAGATTCAACTTGTCCCACGCCGATGACCGATTACGTGTATGGAGACGACGTAATGAACGTTAAGCCAACTGCTCACGGCTGGGGAGGTGGAAGACTCATGGTACGGGGTAGCTTCAGCTACCGCCACAGAACACGTTTACACGTGTTTCGTCAACGTGTGACTGCTGTAGTCTACAGAGACCAGGTCTTTCAACACCACGTTGTACCGCTATTCCAGGCCCAACCTCAGCTCCAGACGTTCCAGCAGGACAAGGCTCGTCGTCACACTGCACGGGTCTCTATGGACTTCCTCAGAGGGAACAACATTGCTGTACTGCCCTGGCCCTCTCTGTCCCCGGATATGGCACCAATCGAGCATGTGTGGGATGAAATTGATAGACGGATACAGACACCTGCTCAACCTCAAAACCTTAGAGATTTGGAAGCCAGATTGGTCAGGGAATGGAATCAAATTCCCCAAGTCTTCATTCAGACACTTGTTGACTCGATGGGAAGTAGTTGAGCTGCCTGCATTGCAGCCAATGGAGATCACACGCGCTACTGATTGACACACTGTTTCGTGACATTTTTGGTGTGTGAGGGTGGAGTGATAACATATGCTTTTACAGTAAACTTGAGTGTTGTTTTCATCAGAGATCACGACTCATTTCTTCAACAATCACTTGTCTGTTGTTTTTCGTAGTGTTAAGATTGTTTGTTCCACAGATTCAGAAATATTGGCATTTCTAAATCAACTTGCGTTTCTTTTGCGGTTCAGTATATATATTCTAAAGAAGTTACACCAGTGACTTCGTTAAATCTTTGGCCAATGTTCACAACTAGATTAAACTGACCGAATTATATCCATATTTTGTAAATGAAATATACTGTTGACATGCAAAACATTTATTAAAACGTTGCACATTTCTACAATCAATCGATAAGATAACACAAGTGATAGGATTCTTTCCAATGTACAGTAATTCGTATGTTTATTTCAAAACAAATACACATACACAAAGGATCCCTTACATAACCGATACGTATACTATACGTACACATATTCAACATTTTGAAGAAAACATCTGTTGAGATGACCCCTCCCCCGAGCGTGTGCTCAGGTGTTAATTTCACCTGTCGATACCGTGCATGCTGATGACGTAACACAGGCAGTTAATGTTTGTATCAAATAACATCCCACTACCCCTTATTTTTCTAGGGTTTTGGTATTTTCATCAGTAAAATCACATTTTAGAGCATGTCTCAAAATTTATTCCTTCGGTCTACATTAGGTAGATGTTTCTTGAAGTGATATTTGTTATTTAAGTAACCGTAATACCACTGAATTTTAAATAAAAGTCAAAAAGCATTTTTCTAGCATTTCCGACAGTACTATAGTATCATCACTCATAATAAAGTTATTTCAACATCCAGAGAATTTGAAAAAACCCAAAGGCTACGTTTTGGTCACACCCAAGCCTTATTCAGTCTTGGAACAGAATAACTTACAGATTTGTTGACTGTTCATGTAACTGGAATGGATATTGAAACATATATAATATTCAACCCCGATTTCATGTAATACTTCTTAGAAATCATCAGCTTTTGAGGAGGTTACCAATATTTGAAGACTGAGCCAAAGTAGTGCTTTATTAAGATGTTGGTTTTGGAAAAATTGTTCAAGGTTTGTTGATGCTTATTTGGAAAATAAAAGCTTAAATTCATATTAAATTGCACACTGGTGTAATTGCAGGAGGTGAAAGCATCAGGACATTTTCATGTATGTTTTCCTAAACTTTGTTATGACTTTTACCAAATTTTAAAGCAACTTTAATATAATTTTGATGACACTAGTAAGTATCTCTAGAAAAGGAAATAGATCAGAATTAGTGTTATGTCCCTATGGGATATGGTCTCAGATCTAATAATAAAACAAAAGATTATCATTGTTTAAGAAGCAAATAATGTCAATATGTAATTTTTATTGATAAAAAAGCTTTAAAGTTTGAATATATTCTTTGCCTCTTATTTACATTAGTAGTTAGCAGTTAAATATATCTGAAGAAAAAAGCAGTATATTTATATGTTGTGTAACATTCTATTTCAATGCT